GATGATGTCTAGGCTCTTTTTTTGATCATGGCTTTCAGATAGTCCAATAATTTTTAAATTCTCTCTCCTGGATCTATTTTCCAGGTCAGTTGTTTTTCCAGTGAGATATTTCACATTGTTTTCTAATTTTTCATTCTTTTGGATTTGTTTTACAGTGTCTTGATTTCTCATAAAGTCACTAGGTTCCAATTGCTCTATTCTAATTTTTAAGGAAGTATTTTCTTCAGTAATCTTTTGGACTTCCTTTTCCATTTGGCCAGTTTTGCTTTTTAGGGCATTCTTCTCCTCATTGGCTTTTTGGACCTTTTTTGCCATTTGGGTTAGGCTAATTTTTAAGGTGTTATTTTCTTCAGTATTTTTTTGGGTCTCCTTTAGCAAGCTGTTGACTTGTTTTTCATGATTTTCTTGCGTCACTCTCAGTTTTTCCTCTACTTCTCTTATTTGCTTCTCAAAATCCCTTTTGAGCTCTTCCAAGGCCTGAGACTGATTTATATTTTACTCGGAGGCTTTGGATGTAGGAGCTTTGGCTCTGTTGTCTATTTCTGGTTATATGTTTTGATCTTCTTTGTCACCAAAGTAAGATAATATAGCCTGACTCTTTTTGCGCTGCTTGCTCATGATCCCAGCCAATTACCTTACCTCTTTGTGGAGTCATTTTTATAGGTATTTGGAGGGATTTGGGGGAGAGTTCAAGCAAGTCACTGCCATCTTGGCTCTGCACCCCAGACTTGCAGAATTCTTTCTTTTAAAAAAAATTGTTTTTTTCCATTTTTATAATTTTGATTCTGAGCTTAACCAATACCAAATAAAATGAGCATTTCCATATACAGTAGAACAGAAGAATGATTTTATATGAAATTGCAAATCTCCATTATGAAGATCTTAATTTTCTTTTCAAGTATATGAGAAATTCAGCACATAACTTCCAAAGCTCTCCTGCTTGTCTGTGATTCCTTTTGGCCTTCATTCTGTTCTCTCTCTCTTTTTTTTCCCTTGGGGGGGAACTGTGTCAGGTGTCAGGGCCCTATCTCAACTCTACCTCTCCTCCCTCCCTATCCTTCTTTTATGCTTGCCTCACACCACCCTGCACTGAAAAAAAATGAAAAAAAAACACAAAACCTTGTGATAAATATCCATAGTCAAGAGAACAACAAATTCCTAGTGGTACAGTGGATAGAATGCTAGGCCTCAAGTCAGAAAGACTCATCTTCTGAGTTCAAATCTAGCCTCAGACACTTACTAGCCTAGGCACATCACTTAACCCTGTTTGTCTCAGTTTCCTCATCTGTAAAATAAGCTGGAGAAGGAAATGGCAAATCACTCCAATATCTTTTTCAAGGAAATCCCAAATGTGGTTATGAAGAATCAAACACAAATGAACAACAACTGAAAAATGTATGTCTCACTCCGCACCCTGATTCCACTGTTGTCAGGACGTGGATATCCTTCATGCTTCTTCATACTCTTTCCACTAGCCTTGGATAGATATAAGAAGTGCCTATCCTAGACATGAGATGGCGGAGGGAAAATCCCAGAAATACTAGGATACTGTGATTTTTTTTCTGCACAGGTTCCCTTTTTTCATCTCTAAAACAGAGCTTGAGATCTGTAAGGGACCTTAAAGGTCAATGAGTCCACCACCCTCCCTCTCACCACCCACCCAAACACACTCCACCTGCCCCCTTCATTTTACAAATGAGGAAACTGGATGATGAAATGATGAAAGACTTCTACCGAAGATCACGCAGGTAGCAATCAAAGTGAGGTTGGAACAGTGGTTCTCTGACTTCACACCCAGTATAATTCCTGCTGTATCTCTCTTCCTCTCAACCTGCTTGAATAAATAATCTGTTGCTGCAGAATGATTGGGGGTGGAAGAGGGAGTAAGATTTTTTTTTAATTACCAGCAGCTTCTCTGTTGCCAGGTACCTCATTATGCACTGAATCACACTGAATGAAAGAATCACAGAATTTGAGAGTTAGAAGGAATCTCAGAGGCCTGTAGATTAACCTGTATCTGAATAAGGATCCCTCCTGTCCTGGAACACACAGCAAGCATGCCCATCTATTCAGATGTCAATCAATTCAGCTTTTTCCTTCAGGCTGGCTTCTGAAGGGAATGAGTGTCCCGGGGGAACCTCCTGTGTGGAGGACAGTTACATCCACTTTTCTTCCACTGTTGCGCTTCAAAAGGCCCCTTCTACCCTGTCCTAACAGTGGGCAAAAGGACTGGCCTTTAACAGGTATTCTTCCAGCCAAAACATGCTCTGACTCAGCAAAGACAGATAATCTAGTGCTTTGAGCAACATTCCTGTATTTCTCTGAATCCAGGACATGATTGCAGTGAAAAGCTTTTTAAAAATTCTGCATTCCACATAGCTCATGTCCTCACTATTGAGTTTGAATACAATTGCAGTAGATTGGGCTAATTATAAGGATTTCAATTTTCTTATACTTGAACCTCCTGAGCACTCAATCTAAATTAGTATTTTGGCACTGAAAAATAAATGTAGCAACAAGGAGGCTAAAGTCATAGCTGTTGTGCTCATCTTCCAAAGAAGTCCGACCTCCTATTTTTCTTTAACCTCTTCCTCACCTTCTTGAGAAGGTTTTACAATAATCAGTATTTCTGGGCACAATGAAAGATGCTGGCATTTATGCACACCAGTGCTAGGGTCCTACTTTATACTGTATGCCATGTATTAAATGTACATACTTTAATGTATGCAACATATCAAATATATATACTTTATTGCATGCAACACTAACTTGTCAGTGTGACTGATTATTATTTGGAAAGATGATACTCACTAGGTCAAATGCAAAGGGTAAGACTAAGCCCCTGACCTCAAGAAGCTCAGCAACGTAGCTGGAGATCTTTGTGGGTCTCACTGCATCCCACCTTTCCTTATAACCACTTCCTGCTGTACACACATCATTGGAGATTCATCTTCTTAATACTTAACTTTGCACAAAATAATCCTATGATGAAAATGTTTTATAGCTCCCCCTTGACCAAGGATCAACTGGATCATAGGATTTAGAGCTGGAAGGGACCAGTCCAATCCTTTATATAATGCTTTAAGGTCTGATATATATATATACATATACATATATACACACACACACACACATATATACATATATACATATATATACATATATATATATACATATATATATATATACATACATACAAGTTCACTCTGTTCAAGCTTCACAAAAACCCTGTGAGGTAAGTACCATAGGAGTATTGTTATGCCCATTTTACAGATAACTGAGGTTCAGAAAAGTTAAATGACTTATACACAGGCACACAACAAGTAAATGTCAAAGGCAAAATTCAAGTCCAGGTGTCTCTTTATTCCAAGTCCAGAATTCAAGTGAATGTACTCCCCACTCCTCCCTAAGCCTCCTTAGAAGCCCCATTTACCCCTGACCAACTCTCAGCTCTCAGAGTCTTCTCTCTACTCTTCTTTCTCATAGCTCTTGTATATATCGCACAACTACCATTTTTCATATGCTGCTCAATGTTGATTGTTTAATCAACATTTGTTTAAATCAACATTTAATTAACAATTGTTTAAAATTTCCCCACCCCCAAACCTTGGGCTCACATAGACTGAATCTGATAGGAGAGGCTGTCATTACAACTCAATTTCTCTTTTGGGTCATTATTGCCCCCACTCAGAATTTAATCTGTGAACTTTCTAAATATAGCCCAATGTCTAGATTTCTGTATATGTGAGGAACAAGGCACTTAGCTTCTGTGTAATCACTCAAGCTAACAATTGATATCTTGTATTGTATAGTCTTGTATAAGCAACTAGGTGTCGCAGTGGATAGAGCATAGAGCATGGAGTCAGGAAGGCCTGAGTTCAAATTCAACCCCAGGCACTTCCTAGCTGTGTCACCTTCGGCAAGTCACTTAACCTTGTTTACCTCAGTTTCCTCATCTGTAAAATGAGCTGGAGAAGGAAATGACAAACCATTCTCGTATCTTTGTCAAGAAATCAAGAAGAGTTCTTCACAACAGAAAAGACTGAACAACAACAATAGTATGGTCTTTACTTCACCCTACATAAGATGCAAAGAACTTGCGAGAACCCATAAACAAACACAATTTTCTTCCCTTTTCCCTCAGATGCTGCCCAATTTTGCTCAAAGTTCCTAAAGTACTTATGGCAAGCACCTCCCCCACTATTTGGCTTCTTCTTAGAAGAGAGATCAACTTGAGGTGGTCAGTGGGACAACACCCTAACAATTCTGGTGAATCCCCCTATACCACAGGGTCCTATGCAAGCTCCCCAAAATTCATAGTATAGCCCTGATTCCCCCAGAAAGCAAACACACTTTGGAGCTGGTCAATTGGAAACTCCTTTCCTATCAGATCTGCCCAGTCCAAATAATTCATCGCAACAAGGGAGAACAAAATATAGGTCTTTTCTTCCTCAGTGTCTTGGCTTTAAAGCCTTCTCCAACTACAAGAGCATGTGGGCCTGCCTTTTCTCTCTCTAAAAAGAACACTACTCAGGCATGACTTTTCTCTCTTTGGAAGGCCAGATCTCCAAACTCTTGAATTTGAGGTTACTCTTAAAGTGACACCAAAAGCTGGTATTACCCAAGAAACTTCCTTTTATGGAAGGAAGGCTGGATTCCAGAATCAAGAGTCCTAGTAAATCCTGCCTCCCTCTCATCCCCAAGTCTGAAACACATGCCAATAGTACTATACTGGAAGCTGAACTTCAAAAATACTGTCTATGAATTCCCCTCAGCCACAGGAGTGAGAAGGGAGGGGGTGGCAGAAGCAAGGGCAGTTTTATTTGCATTGGCTTCAAGATACCATTAATGGCTCCTGAGTGGTAGTGGTTATAGGAGCTAGGTTTGTTCTTAGCTCTACTGTACTAAAGATCTTTCTGGAAGAAAAGTGAAACAGGAAAAGAAATCCAAAAGGGATGAACAGGTCTGTTGGTTTAGTTTTGTTTTTTTTTTTTTTACAGGCCAGACAAGGGGCAGCTCCTGCCATATTCCCAGGAATTCAAACCAACCAAATTACCTTCAGGGCATCTCCAACTGCTGAAAATCTACCTCCCAGGACTCACCAAGCAGTGACTCCAAACCTATCTGATAGCAACTGCCCTACTTGCTGAGAGTTAATTAGGAGTTGTCTTTGTCCTCTTAATGAGAGGTAGGTAAACATGCCCACACCCTATAGCAATAGACACTCAAGTTTCCAGACAAAGTCTCATGACCCCAAAAGCTCAAGACTTTGATTGGAAAAACTCCCTGTATCTTCTCTCCTACAACTCATATCCATAAGCTCTTCCCAACTAGAGGTAGGGAACTCCTGGAATTCTCATTCCAATAAATTTTCCTAAACAAAATGGGTCTTCAGGAAATGCCTGTTGATGTCTGCTGATTATAGTGATAAGTAGGATTTAGCTGTTGACTCTGACCCAGAGATGCTCAAGGCAGCAATTCTGAATTAACCTGCTGAACCAGATTGTGGTGGGACTCAGTAATCAGCCCTTCAAAAGCAACAAAACAAAGGGGAAGAATAATACTGACTCAACAAATTCAAGAGGGACATCTTAAGTGCCTAACATGTACAGGGCGCTGGAGATACAAAGACAGTCCCTCTCCTTAAGGGACTAGGACAGGGGAAATATGACATGCACATATGTTGTAAGGGTCAAAGGAGAACTAGACAAAGTGATATGAAGAACTTGAGGAGGGATATTCAAAGCCCCTCATAACCTAATGCCTTCCTACCTTTCCAATCTTCTTACACCTTAATCCTCTACATGTACTCTTCAGTCAGTGACATTGGCCTCTTGAGTGTTCCACAAACAAAACAGTCCAGGCATTTTCTCTGGCCGTCCCCCAAACCTGGAACCATCTCCCTCCTCAGCTCTGACCACTGAACTCCCTGGCTTCATTTAAGTCTCAACTAAAATCCACCTTCTACAGGAAGCCTTCTCCAACCTGTCTTAATTCCAGTACCTTCCCTCTTTTAAATATTTCCCATTTATCCTGTATATATTTGTTTGCATGCTGTCTCCTCCATTAGATTATAAGCTCCTTGAGGGCAAGGGACTGTCTTTAGCTTCTTTTTGTATCCCCAAAGTTTAGCACAGTGCTCGGCACTTAGCTTAATAAATGTTTATTGATTGATTGATTGAAGGAGGTACCATCAGATTTGGGAAGAACCTTCGGCAAAAGGCGATGAAGTTCCAAGGATGGAGAAAGACTTTACATCTACATAGAGTTTTAAAAGTTTACAGAGAACTTTCCTCACAACAACCCTGTGAGATAGGTAGTAGAAGTAGTATTATGGTCATTTTTCAGATGAGGAAATTAGGACTTGAAGAGATGTCCTGAAAAATTATTCATAGCCTGGTTTTAGATGATGAGATCTGTAGGCCTCATGTCAATTTTGCCAGCTTAAGGAAAATTATGTCTGACTTTTGGCCTCTGCTTCACCCAACCAAATGAAGCAGTTAATGACTAAATTTAAGTAACAGCCAGAAGAAAAAATATACTGAATTTAGAATGAGGAGTTTAAAGTTATAGCCATTGAAATAAGAAAAATTATAGTTCTCGTTCTATTGCCAATTCATCTGAAAGGAAGTTTCTAATTAAGCAGTGAGATCTGTCAGGCTAGGATCTGCTGAATGTGCACCAAGAAAATATTTCAGACAGACCCAGAGGCTGGGGAGCTCATTGGAGCAAAACAAAGTACTCCTCACAAGCCAGAGAATGTCCATTACTGAGCTTCTCAGCTTAATCATGAGTCAACTTTCAGGAATTACAAAGAAGACTCTTCAGAAACATTCATTTGGTCCATCCTGTCAGTGAAAGTTCTTCAAATTTAAGCAGTCTAAGATAACTGGGGTGAAAGAAGATTGGGGCTACAATTTGGTTCAATGAAGAAAAATAAATCTATGGCCTAGATCACTGAGGTATAAATGCTTTTTAAAGTTGCATTTTAATGTATTAGTGATATGGCCCAATATAGAGGCTGCCAGGGGGGTGGAAGTAGTGGGCAGAATGCTATTGAAGTTGCTTTGTGTCCAAGAAATGATGTAAAAATATCATTCAAGAAATGTAGGATTGCAAAAGACTCATGATGGAGAATGCTATCCACATCCAGAGAAAGAACCATGGAGTCTGAATGCAAATCAAAGTATACTATTTTCTCTTTTTGTTTGTTTATTGTTTTTTCTTTCTCATGGTTTTTCCCTTTTGTTCTGATTCTTCTTTCACAAATGACTAATATGGAAATATGTTTAATATGACTGTACTTGTATAGCCTATATCAGATTATATACCATCTTGGGGAGGGGGGAAAGGATGGAGGGGGATATTTTAGAACTCAAAATCTCATAAAAGTGAACGTTAAAAACTAAAAATAAATTTTAAAAAATGAAAAAAAAAGAAATGGGGGTTGAAAAAGAATGATAAATCCAGAGTTGAGAGTGTTCTTAGGACCTAGTCCAACATTCTTCTTTGACGGATGAGGAAATTAAGAGGTCCAGTGATTTGTTCAAGGTCACACAACTAACAAACGAAAATGGTGGGATCTGAACTTGACCTTCTAACTCCAAATCCAGCATATTTGTTTTCCAGTCTTCTACGATGCCTCAAGGAGATGGGTTGTTTATTTAGCAAAAGTAAGAATAACTTATAGAAATTTCAGTACTGAACTTAGAGTGCTTTGGTTAGATCTTCTGTGTGGGAGGTTAAGAACAAGGATCACAGGATGTGATCTACGTAAATGGAGGGAATATGCTGAATGATAAGATCATAGACCCATTGAATCATTGAAGCCATAACTTGGGCTTCCACTTAAATCCTACTCTGAAGCCACATCATGGTATGGCAGTGAATCTGGTTTCTCAGAACCTATGCCGGCAGAGATAAAACTCTGGTGAATTCAGACACTGTGTCTTTCGTTCAACAACCAGCTCAGATAAATGTGGAGAGGCTTGTCAGTGGAAGGTCAGCCTTCTGAGAATCATATGAGACACTCTGCTCTTCAAGGAGCCAGCCCAACAAAGGAGGTCCTCTCCCTGAAGCTAACAATGAGTACTCTGCAAAGGGAGAAAAGGAATGCCAAGGTCATAAGTGTCATGGTAAACACTGGCCCCATGTATTTATTTTCTACAAAGTGGCAGCAGTACCATGGATAGAGAGCTGGCCCTGGAGTCAAGAAGATCTGAATTCAAATTTGACCTCAGACACTTACTAGCTAATCTCAGCTAGTCACAGAGGTTACTCTGTCTGCCTCAGTTTCCTTATCTGTAAAACTAGGATAACAATAGCACCTACCTCTCAGGGTTGTTATTAGTATCAAAAGACATACTATTTGTAAAGTGCCTGACACATAGAAAGCACTTAATAAATGTCTGTTTCCTTCCTTCTAGAATGAAATGAAGGGACAGCTAGGTGGCACAGTGGATAGAATGCCAGACGTGGAGTCAGGAAATCTCTTCTTCCTGAGTTCAAATCCGGCCTCAGACATTTGCTAGCTGTGAGACCCAGGGCAAGTCAATTAACCCTTTTTGTCTCAATTTCCTCATCTGTAAAATGAGGTGGAGAAGAAGATGGTAAACCCCTCTGTTATCATTGCCAAGAAAATCCCAAATGGGGTCAAGAAGAGTTGGACATGACTGAAAAACGACTAAACAACAACAAAATTATAAGATGAATTTTTTTGACCATAGCATCTCATGAAATCATCTACCAAGGTACAGAGAAGTTGTAAATTTTGCCAGTGCAGTAGAGAGAGAGCCTATCCCTGTGAAAATGGCAAAACACTAAAAGAGGTGGATCACAGACTCTAGAGTCAGACAACTTCAGTTTAAATCCTTTCTCTGTCACAAACTATTACTGTTACCTTGGACAAGTGACTTAACCCCTCTGGGACTCAGTTTCCTCATATGTAAAATGAAGAAGTTGGACTAGGTTGTCTCTAAAAACCCTTTTAGTTCCAAATATATTAGGCTATTCTAGCACATTCTCAACTTCTTTTCTCACTGGCAGGACAGGTGTCCCAAGGACAGTTGACAGTTGACTAGTTCTTCCCTCAGGGTTCTATGTAACTAGATAACTCTGAAGGCCTGAGATATTCTAGCATTGTCACACACAAGCCCCCATCCATTGAGCTCCCAAATATCAATCAGCCAATTGACATCAATTAGTTTTTACAAGAGGCTGTTTGCTAAGAAGGTATATCAAGGACAAAGTAAAAAAAAAAACAATCCCCAAACCACAGCTCTATTCTCTTACATAAATGATCCATAGGGAGAATGGACATAAGCCTAAAACAGGTAGAGAGACACACATGTAGGAAATACATGGAACTAATATTTACCTTAATACTCCCGACCTTTGCATCCCTTTTCTCCCTTTACAGAGTACTCATCAAGTTAGTTTCAGGGAGAGGATCTCCTTTGAAGAATTTAGTGTCTCATTTGGTAGGTCAGTTCACTTCTAAGTGGGGTCAAATAGGTAGCCTGGCTGTGGTGCTGATTTCTCACTGGATTCACCTGCTATGGCTTTCAACCCTGGTCGCAAGTGTCTGGATATCTCTTTCTCCTGGTTTATCTTCATTGCCATATGATAGATATCTTTACCATAGATGTCTCATCGTCTCTGCTTCCACCTGCCCCCAGATAGAAACAGTATCTCACATTTATAAAGAGCTTTAAGCTTCACAAAATTCTTTCCTCACAACCACTCTGAGTCTAGTAGTCCAAATATTATCCCAATTTTATAGATGACAAACTGAGATTAAGAGAAGTTAAATGATTTGCTCAGTCACATTGCTGATGTACAATCCAGAAGTTGAAACCCAGGATTTATAACTCTAAAACCCCATGTTCTTTCCACTATACCTACTAGCAAGAATTCATCCAATAGTGGAAATATAGTCATAATACAGTTTCTTTCTGAAGCATATAATTTTGACTTAAGGCAAATTTCTAGTTTCCATTTTCTACAGAAAATCATTTTTTTAATGACCTTGGTCCTAATAGAATTTGTCTATATAACTAATTAATAGTATTTCTCTTCATACATGTGACTTCCTATCAAAATTCTTCAAAAGAAAAACTACTTAACTACTGATACAATTATCTTCCAGTGACATGGAGGTGGTGGAAAGGTATGAGAATTTTTAGTATA